TATATGCTGTTTGTGTCATAATTTTGGAAATTTCCCCTTATTTCCTCCTGTTTGATGAGCAACAGACAGAACAAGATGTGCAGGAAAAGAATGACAGAAGATCTATGCTCTTCCCCAATCTATCTAAACAGAAAAGATAAACTTTTGCCTGGAGTTGGGCTTTAAGATCAATCTTTTGCTGTGTCATTAACTGATTTACTGTGCAGGGGAGTTCCACTCACCATTTTAGTCCTGTAATATACTGTACTATATATTGCCATGACATTTTGTTATTTGTTTTAAATGTAGTTTAAATAAATATACTTATCCTTGTGTTGTAGGGCTGCTTTTCATAAATGATTAGTTGGCCAATTATTTTTGTAATTAATCAGATAAAAAAAATAAACCATCTTTTAACCACCTGCTGACCAGGTGTTTAAACCCCCTTCCTGGCCAGGCCATTTTTCAGTATTCAGCGCTGCAGTACTTTGACTGACATTTATTCCGTCATGCAACGCTGTACTGAAATTAATTTTATACCATTTTTTTGGGGACAGATAGAGCTTTCTTATGGTGGTATTTAATCACCACTGGGGGTTTTATTTTTTACTACATTTAGGAAAAATTACTGAAAATTTTGAAAAAACATTTTGTTTACATTATGTTAGGAAACAATTCTTATTACCCAATTTTTTGGTAAAATATAAAAGACGGGGTCATGTTGGGTAAATATCAATCATCTGTATTTGGCGGCGCCATCCGCAGTCATTCCGAGCACCCCTCCCCGATCACGGGGTCATACCGGTAAGGAGTGCAACTAGCCTTTTCTTTTTTCTTTTTTTTTTATGTTGGGTAAATAGACACCAAACATGTCAAGCTTAAAAATTGCGGGAGCCGGGGAGCAGCGGGGAGGGGGACACGGAGGAAGGGGGGCGCACGGGTTTTTTAATTTTGTGTCTTCCCCGCTTGCGCACCAGTGGCGGGGCTAACAGGCCGTATATACACGGCCTGTTACATCCAGGAAGCTGTTTAACAGGTAGTTAATTAAAATGAAATACAAAAATGGAGCGTTACAAAAATAAAACTTTACTTCAGAATAAAACTGCATGCACAATGTTTTGTAATCACACCGCACAAACGCATGGCATCTCTCTTTCTCCTCACTTTCTCCTCACTTTCTCCTCACTTTCTCCTCACTTTCTCCTCACTTTCTCCTCACTTTCTCCTCACTTTCTCCTCACTTTCTCCTCACTTTCTCCTCACTTTCTCTCGCTCTCTCGTATTTTTAAGGCCCCTTTGTGATAGCATATGGAAGGTGACATTAGGGTTCTATTGGACCCCTAGTGTCATCTTTCGACTTTACTGGGGAATGACAGCTGCCTACTGAGGCAGCTGAATGTAAACACAGCCGGTAGTGGCTGGGAGCAATAGCCAACCTGCTATTTGATATTTTACATTGCCTGCTGTCAATCAGCCGAGAAGTGAACTGAAGGGGAAAGTTCTCCTTCAGGTTCTTTTCTGCTGAATGACAGCAGGCAGAGGGTGGGTGTTAAAGCCAACATGCTATTGGTTATTGCAATTTAAAATAGCCGATAGCAGGCTGCCTATTGCTCCCAGCTGCTGGATGGGAGACTTGATTCTGGCAGAAGTGGGGGCACGAGTGAGTAGAAGAGGCACGGGGGCAGCATCGGGAAATGCAGAGGCACAGTGGATTTAACTTCCTGCTCCCCTCTGATTGAAGCATGCAATGTCTCCCAGCGAGGAGGATTATGGAGTAGCAGAGCGGCGGGGGGATTCAACTAATCGAGAATGAGAATTGTTGATGACAATTCTCATTCTCGATTAGTTGTGGCAGCACTATTGTATTGATTGAGTCTCAATCTGGAGTGGTGAGCCCACTCAAAATGAAAACCTTCATTTTTGAATGGTGCCTTCCAAAGAGAGATGGCACTGGGACTCGACCTTAGCCTTTAATTAACTTGTATTACATATGAGAGAGAGCTACTGCTAGGCCCAAAAGGATGACGTTTTTTTGTGTTAATCATAATATGGTTTAGTGAAAGGATTTTCATGTTACTTCCAAAGAGACACAAGACCTAAAATTGAGTTTCCTGTGTTATTGAAAACTGCTGCTCCAGTATGTTGCCTTTTGTCAGCATGATTTAGGGCCTGTGCACATCAAAAAAATATTGCTACACTATATTTCTGAAGATACATATTGAAGATAAGTTTTTGTTTTGTTTTTTTTTTTCTTCACATTGGGGCCTATTTGTAAACAATTTGCAGAGTCCTTCACTCTGGGAATATCTGTAAGTGTTTTGTTTTGTATAAATAATGGCAAAAACAAATGTTCTTGAAATATTTTCTATTCAAGCCATATGTATTGTGATGCAATACTGCATTAAGGCCACTAGAAAGAGCTGCAGAGAATAGGAAATGCGTATTTATTTATTTATTATTCTCAATCTAGTGACCATCAAAGTACCATGCATTTTGGGGCAAAAAAGATAGCAACTTGGGTGCAATTAGCAACCTACTGAAAGGAATGGGTTGCCTTATACATGATGCACAAAAATGCGCTTGCATGCAGGCATATTGTCACACCCGCACAAGAATGGGTTGCCTTATACACGATGCACAAAAATGCGCTTACATGCAGGCATGTTGTCAAACCCACACAAGTGTAAATAGTCTTACGGAAAAATATATAGGTCAGAATAAGGGAAGCACGGGACCAATCACTGCCACTCTTCCTAACCAGTATTCAGCTTTAACCTGCCTACATCCAGGGTTGATAGTAAAGAACGTGAGGATTGAGGAACATATAGAGAGCATTGACGTTCTGTATTCAGGGTTTCATCCATATTACTATTCTAAGTTATTTTTAAATGTATGTAAAGGAAAGTTAAGCATTCACACGTTAGGATATATATATATATATCTATCCTATTACTGAGCAAGGGAACAACTAGTCAAACAAATGTAAAAAAAAGAAGAAAAAACTACTTTGAAAGAAGAACCCTGGCAGAAGAAAATGTAACTCTTGCAGTGGGGCTACCCCCACACTGCAAGGGTTAAGTACTCACCTGGTCACAGCAGTACCTCGCCCCGTCTGTTCCAGAGATGGAATATCCCCCAGCGTCCTCACGTCTAATGCACTGTATTGGGCGTGATGACTTAGACCAATTGGTGTGGAGGGAGAGAGAGGCTGCAGGGACCAGTCTAGCAGCCAGGCAGGACCAAGCATTGGGTGAGTAAATCTTTGTTATTTTAGACACGTGACACATGGTGCAAGGAATTGTGGGAGATGACCTAGCAGCACAAAAAAAACAAGCAGAAGATGCCACTGAGAAGAGGCAGGGATATACAAGGGGGAATTTTCTAAGACTGGAGCAGACCGAATCTTGAGCAGACCTGCATGGCAACCAATCAGGTTCT